TCTAATGAAAGTTATAGAGCTCATCAAAACATATTTAATGATAGTAAAAATGTTAAAATTGGCCTGGTGGTTCTTGAAAAATCTTTAAAAAATGTTTCATTGATATATAAAATTTTTTTAAAAAATATCAATTTTTTTTTAAAGAAATTTTATATATTAGTAAAATATTTTTTAAAGATTTTTCAAGAATTATCAGTTCAATTTTAAGCATAATAACAAACCCAAATTTGGATGATCAATATTGTGGTTTAGCCAATTTAATAAAAATTTTTTTTGATTTTTTATATAGTTTAAAATACTTTATATTCTCATGATTTTTCAAAACTTATCAATTAAGTTTGTTCTAAAAAGAAAGCTAGCAAAAAATCTTTGTATAATCTATTTTGTATTAAAATTAATCAAAAATAATTACAATATTCAAGAAGTTTTATTAGAGGCAAGTTTTATAAAAAATCAAATATAGTTAAATTTATACTTTAAACAAAAAAAGTTTTTTAGTATTAAAACTAAAAGTAAGTAGTGTAAAATTAAGTTTTAATATTTTTTAAAAAAAGCAATAATAGATTTGGGTTTTGTAGCTTATTGGTTAAGCTCTCAAACTCTACAAACAAAGTTAACATTCAAGTTAGGCTAGAGGCAAATTGAATAATTTGTTTCTATAACCTTTGGGATTATAATTGAACATGGAGCCTTGTGGTTAAGTCCAAGTACAGGTATAAAGCTGGAATAGGAATTCCCAAAAAGAGATCTAAATATGGAGTATTAGTACTATGTATAATTGTAATATTACAGAAGACTGCAGCTATGAAGATTGTGCAAATAAGTTTTTAAGAGACGAGGCAGCACCAATATCCTTGTATCTCTAGGTTTGGCAATACCAACATTCCTATATCCAATTTGTGTTATTTATAATGGTATTGTATCTTTTATTAGCCATCCGAAAGGTAGATTGCGCACGCGGGAAGCCTTGGCAAAGTCATATAGCCCTTTATTTAATCGAACGTTGGATCCAGAGACTGAAGTTATTATTTCTGCCGGTGCAAATGAAGGTTCATATTTGTTATAGAGAGGCTATCATTTATAAGATGAAATTTGGATGTTCGTGAAATTAACACATCTGATTGGTTAAGATTAGGGTGATCAGTTATGATCAGTTATGATCATACATGATCATCCAAATTTCAGCATCATCCTCAGCAATGATTAGTTGCTAGAATTTTTATTTATATCCCCTCTACTATTAGGATTATATGCTATTTTTGCGGGTTTTTTGGATGATGGAGATGAAGTTATATTGATCGAACCTTTTTTCGACCAATATATTGTAAGTGTAAAATTTCATAATATTCATTTACTTCAATGAAATAATGTTCATAAATCTTGGAAACTTAAGGCAAACATCACAATGAACGGTGGTGTGCCCGTGTACGTGCCGTTACGGCCACATGGAGATACAAACAAGATCATATCTTCTCGTGACTGGAAATTGGATATTAATGAATTAAGATCGAAAATTACTCCGAGAACTAAAATACTCGTGTTTAATACTCCTCATAACCCTGTGGGTAAAGTATTCTCTAGAGAAGAAATGCTAGAAATTGCACAAGTTGTACAAGAATTTAACTTGTTACTAGTGAGTGATGAAGTAGTAAGTTATCAAATTTTGTAAAATTGATTCTTCTAAACAACAAATATTTTTGTTTGACTATAATTACTTACCTTCATATTATTTGAAAGTACGACCGTCTTTATTATAAACCTGATGTCCATGGACGCATAGCGACTTTGCCAGGATTATGGGATCGCACCATTACTGTTGGAAGCGGTGGCAAGACTTTTGGTACAACTGGATGGCGTGTCGGGTGGTTAATAGGACCTAAAAATTTAATAAAAACCGTACTCTCAGCGCAGACTAGAATTGTTTTTTGTGTCAATTCACCACTTCAAGTATTTTTTATTCATACAATCATCTTTGAGAGCTTTACATTGGTGTATCATTAATCTTTTCCAATGTATCCATCGAATAGGAGGCCATAGGAATATCAATTGAAGAAGCTGAGGCACATGGTTACTATGAAGAGAACATCGCATTATATGAACAAAGACGCGACAAATTATGTAAAGCATTATCAGATGCAGGACTTCCATACACTTTCCCTCAGGGTTCTTATTTTATTTTGGCTAATACAAAACGAATTAATATTCCGGTAATTGGAATTCTGTTTAACTTAGTTATAAATATTGTCAATAAGCAACTAATATCATTTAAATATGGCAGGAGGATTACGAGTATCCTGAAATCCTACTAGACCGGCCAAGAGATTTTAAAGTATGCTATTGGATGGCAAAGGAGATCGGTGTAGTAGCTATCCCACCTAGCGAATTTTATAGTGAAGAGAATAGATACCTTGGAGAAGATTATGCACGATTTGCATTCTGTAAAACAGATGAAACACTAGAAGCAGCTGCAAAAGCTTTATTGAAATTGACGAAATATATTAATGAATAAGATATGGTTAATAGTGAAAATAATATTTCTGTAAATTTGTATTTTTTTTTTTATTTTTTTTTTTAAACATACATATAGAATGTATTAAAAAAAAATAATAAATCCATGGCAATCTATTCTGTACAATGATTTTGTGAAAGAAATATTTTGTAGATATATAACCTAGATGATTTACAACAATTAACCTAAAAATTTAAATATTCAAGAATTTGATTTGGTCTTGGTCATATAAGGTAATATCCAAAAAATTATTCATTGAAAGATGTAGGGGACCTTTTGCCATTTTGCAAAGAAATATCACGTCGAGCTCTAACACCTTCTCGTAAAACGTCCAATGCTTTGACTGTAGCTTCCCAACTAATACACGCGTCCGTAATTGATTGACCATAAACAAGTCCCGATGGACCTTCCATCGGAAGATCTTGACGACCTGAATATTTCAAAAAAGAAAGTATTTTTTATGTGACAAATTCAAAAAGTAAATTCAATAATAATTTTTGAGAAATTCATACCTTCTTTTAAATGACTTTCTAGCATAATACCCGTGATGTAATTGCCAGATTGCGACTTAAGTTGCTCCGCCTTAAAATAAAAAAAATGCAAAGTTTCATAAAACTGAATAAATATAACGATTAATTATGATTAAATGAAATATACATACAATATCATTGATAACATCAATTTGCCGACTAAAAACTTTTTGGCTATTTCCATGACTACAATCAATCATAATACGAGGAGCTAATTTTGCGGGTTTTTTGGATGATGGAGATGAAGTTATATTGATCGAACCTTTTTTCGACCAATATATTGTAAGTGTAAAATTTCATAATATTCATTTACTTCAATGAAATAATGTTCATAAATCTTGGAAACTTAAGGCAAACATCACAATGAACGGTGGTGTGCCCGTGTACGTGCCGTTACGGCCACATGGAGATACAAACAAGATCATATCTTCTCGTGACTGGAAATTGGATATTAATGAATTAAGATCGAAAATTACTCCGAGAACTAAAATACTCGTGTTTAATACTCCTCATAACCCTGTGGGTAAAGTATTCTCTAGAGAAGAAATGCTAGAAATTGCACAAGTTGTACAAGAATTTAACTTGTTACTAGTGAGTGATGAAGTAGTAAGTTATCAAATTTTGTAAAATTGATTCTTCTAAACAACAAATATTTTTGTTTGACTATAATTACTTACCTTCATATTATTTGAAAGTACGACCGTCTTTATTATAAACCTGATGTCCATGGACGCATAGCGACTTTGCCAGGATTATGGGATCGCACCATTACTGTTGGAAGCGGTGGCAAGACTTTTGGTACAACTGGATGGCGTGTCGGGTGGTTAATAGGACCTAAAAATTTAATAAAAACCGTACTCTCAGCGCAGACTAGAATTGTTTTTTGTGTCAATTCACCACTTCAAGTATTTTTTATTCATACAATCATCTTTGAGAGCTTTACATTGGTGTATCATTAATCTTTTCCAATGTATCCATCGAATAGGAGGCCATAGGAATATCAATTGAAGAAGCTGAGGCACATGGTTACTATGAAGAGAACATCGCATTATATGAACAAAGACGCGACAAATTATGTAAAGCATTATCAGATGCAGGACTTCCATACACTTTCCCTCAGGGTTCTTATTTTATTTTGGCTAATACAAAACGAATTAATATTCCGGTAATTGGAATTCTGTTTAACTTAGTTATAAATATTGTCAATAAGCAACTAATATCATTTAAATATGGCAGGAGGATTACGAGTATCCTGAAATCCTACTAGACCGGCCAAGAGATTTTAAAGTATGCTATTGGATGGCAAAGGAGATCGGTGTAGTAGCTATCCCACCTAGCGAATTTTATAGTGAAGAGAATAGATACCTTGGAGAAGATTATGCACGATTTGCATTCTGTAAAACAGATGAAACACTAGAAGCAGCTGCAAAAGCTTTATTGAAATTGACGAAATATATTAATGAATAAGATATGGTTAATAGTGAAAATAATATTTCTGTAAATTTGTATTTTTTTTTTTATTTTTTTTTTTAAACATACATATAGAATGTATTAAAAAAAAATAATAAATCCATGGCAATCTATTCTGTACAATGATTTTGTGAAAGAAATATTTTGTAGATATATAACCTAGATGATTTACAACAATTAACCTAAAAATTTAAATATTCAAGAATTTGATTTGGTCTTGGTCATATAAGGTAATATCCAAAAAATTATTCATTGAAAGATGTAGGGGACCTTTTGCCATTTTGCAAAGAAATATCACGTCGAGCTCTAACACCTTCTCGTAAAACGTCCAATGCTTTGACTGTAGCTTCCCAACTAATACACGCGTCCGTAATTGATTGACCATAAACAAGTCCCGATGGACCTTCCATCGGAAGATCTTGACGACCTGAATATTTCAAAAAAGAAAGTATTTTTTATGTGACAAATTCAAAAAGTAAATTCAATAATAATTTTTGAGAAATTCATACCTTCTTTTAAATGACTTTCTAGCATAATACCCGTGATGTAATTGCCAGATTGCGACTTAAGTTGCTCCGCCTTAAAATAAAAAAAATGCAAAGTTTCATAAAACTGAATAAATATAACGATTAATTATGATTAAATGAAATATACATACAATATCATTGATAACATCAATTTGCCGACTAAAAACTTTTTGGCTATTTCCATGACTACAATCAATCATAATACGAGGAGCTAATTTTGCGCTCTCTAACCTTTTTGCAGAATCTAGAACATGTTCGGCTGCATAATTTGGACCTTTAGCACCACCCCTCAGAATGATGTGGCAACAATCATTACCCTGAATAATTTATTTTAAAATTATTTAGAGATACCTAATAATGCTGATAGTGAAATAATAAAGCGCGGATATTCACTTCTGTAGCCACAATAGCACTCAAACCTTGTTTAGTGACAGAAAGGAAATGATGTTTGGTACTTGCTGACTTAATGGCATCAATAGCAATACCAATATTTCCATCGGTACCTACAAACATTGGAGAAAACGAAGCATTAAATTGGAACAACTATATGGAAAATTTAAGAAGATAAAATTTACCATTCTTAAACCCAACAGGAACTGATAAACCTGAAGCTAGTTCACGGTGAACTTGCGATTCAGTTGTCCTGGCACCGATAGCACCTAACGGTGAAATGACACGTTACGCATATGATAAATAAATAATAAGTAAATACGGAATAAAACGGTATACCCCAAGAAACTAAATCGGCAATGTACTGGGGAGTAATAGTATCAAGGAATTCACTGCCACATGGAACACCTAATTCATTCTATTAAATAGAAAAGATTTGTCAGTCAAATTATAGAAACTTCAATTGCCACGTGAAATTATTGCGAGAAATGGCATACAATATCCATCAAGAGTTTACGTGAAATACGCAATCCTTTATTGATTTGGAAACTATTAATTCATAGAAGATATAATTGAAACATATGTTAAATATTTTCTCAATGTAAACCAATTCACCTTAAATAAAGATTACAGACCTGTTATTTAGAAAAGGATCATTAATCAATCCTTTCCAACCCACTGTCGTCCTTGGCTTTTCAAAATAAACACGCATAATTATCAAAAGTTCGTTAGATGCTTCAATGGCATAAGCTTTTAACTTTTCAGCTATGATTGAAATGTGATATACAAATTAAAATAAATTAAGTCCGAATTGACAAACTAAGAGACGATCCGAAGGCAAAGATAACAATAAAAAAAATAAATTACCATATTCAAGCGCGGCTCGGACGTCGTGGACAGAACAAGGACCAACGATGACTAGTAATCTGTCATCCAAACCCTTTATTATTGCCTCTGCATTTGAGCGGCCAAGTATTACAGTTTGAGCTGCCTTCAAGGTCAAAGGCAAGTCCTCCATTAAAATTTGAGGCGGTATAAGGGGCTTAATTTGCTTAATACGTTTATCATCGAGTTCATTAAGAGCTAGAAAGGACAGGAAGGAAAGAGAAGACTCAACAAACTATATAAAACTTGAATGTGTTCAAAAAAAAAAAAATCTATACCATTACCATCACGAACAAACATTTTTGACATTTTTTTAATTTTTTTTTTTTTTTTAGTAGATCAAATTTTGTTTGACGAAATATTACTGTTTATTTATATGTGCAAAATGTGGTAACAATATTAATATTTATGTGACTTACAATGACTCATCAGGCTCGGCTACTAAACAGTTAATTGTAAATAAGTAATAGACTGTTGACTATGAATAGCTCTTTGAATCGTACCCGGATAATATTAATGACATCTTTAGAATAATGTAATATATAGTTATAAATATGAATTTTTGACATTTAAAAGTTCTAATTCAAAATTCAAAATGAATGCGAGATGCTGTATGCTCAATGAAATATGCATATTTAGAAATTTTAACTTGTGTAATAATTGACAATGGAATATCAATTTTTAAAAAAATCACTTATTTTTCTAACAAAAAAATTTTTAGAGAAAAAATATACGTATATACAGTATATATAATAATCTATATATATAGTAGTCATTGAATAAAATTTAGTACGTACTATATCAGATAAATACGTGTTCGATTTTGTACATGGTCGATTTTTAATTATCATTATCGTTATCGTTATCTAGATGCTGAAATTAATACCTCTAATTGGTTAAAATTAGGATGATCCGCAAATTTATCCAATAGGATGTTTAGATTTCGCGATCCAAATTTTCATGACAGAAATTAATAGTCTAAACCTCTCTAAATGCACGCACTGAAGACCAAACATAAACGTGCATTTAAAGAGTATGTATATTTAGGGACTATATGTATAAAGAGGCCGGCATGATCCATGTGACAATTATCCAATAAATTATAAACGTTTTTATTTAAGAATTAGATTCAAATGACCAGTTATTGGATTATTTCAAGACTTAAATTACCTAACCAATCAGAATTGTTCATCAGATAATAATAATCAATGATTAGCTATATTAATATATATCAATAATTAATATTTGGTTGTTTTACAGTACCGGACAGCAAGAAACATCCAATTTTTTTTTAAAAGCGCCAAATTTTGAGATTTATACTCAAATCTGATT